AGCCTTTTACAGCTGTGATCCAGTACTTGCTTTGTCCATTAATTACACAGATTTGTGCTTCCTGGAAATCAAGCTCATCTGTATCAAGGATAGGGAATGCACCCACTGGTGTGCACATAGATATGTTCCAAATGTATCTAAAGACAATACATAACTTCCCTAAGCACTCCTTTGCCGGCCTCGGTGAAATTGACCATCATTTCATCCCGATGGTGGTCAGCTCAGGAATAAGAAGAGACAGACATGTTTATATCTACTACAGTCTGTAATGGTAGAATACCCTTCTTGCTGGTTTACAATAGTGATATACATTGCTGATGCATGCATAAGGTGAGAATGGAGCAGAGGAATGCACAAGAATACGAGGGGATACTTGCGACCACCTTTCAGCCACAATCTGCTGACAAATTAACTCGCACCGGAACCGGGCGTTGCGCCTCCCCACTTATAAGAGTGGACGATTGAGCAGCGAGTCCACTCTTATAAGACTCGAAAGCCGTTTCTCCTAACTCCGGCGGAAGCACCGGGAACACCGCGAGCCTTGTAGGATAGCAGAGTAGTAGACTCCAGGAGACTCCGGCGGTGCCACTGGCTCGAGCGGTAGCGTCGCGTGGACCCACGTACGATAATAGACAGTTGCCTAGAAAGGGCTGATACCGCCTGTCGCATCAGTGACGTCACAGTGCCGCCGTGCCAGACGCTGGTCGTCGCTGTCCCCAACGACGCCGGCGATAGAGAGCGTATACTGCCTCAAATAAAATCGATTAAATCACGATAAAATCCTCAAATATACTATATGGTACTCTTCATATGTCATTCATTACCATATAGTTCCTGCATCAGTTGTGCACTTGATATCAAGATATATCATGAGCCGACTTCCACGAAAATCAAAATATCAAGTCTTCAGCCGGTTCCAAGCAGACCAAAAGCTTATATACTGTTGTTATGTACATACATAAACCCCTCATGAGAGTATACATGAACAGGAGTTGAGGGTCGAAGTTATGGACAAGCTGCAAACTCACTAGTAGAATAACATCAACAGGGTGGTTTGAAGCGGTCCAAACGGCATAGGAATACTCATCAAATATGTAAGCAACGTATATATAGAGCTGTGCCACTTTATACGGCCCTGGAATCTGAGATAAGCGTACAATCCGTCAGTCAGGGTGGAGATGGAGGCACTCACACGGAGGTGGGACGAAGAGCTGTATGTTACAGGCGTGGTCCTTGGATTCACAACATATCATATGACATATTGAATGCTAGAGAAGTTCCGTAGTGCCCCGCTGAGAGACTGCAAGCCCCTGTCAACTAAGGCACTCACCTCAGAGATCCTAGCTGCACTGAGATGGCTGAGCCAACCCTACACTCCCGGATAACACATATACAGTAAATAGTGACTATGTTGTGGGTCTGGATGCAGGTAATCGATTATGTTCTGCGACAAAAATAGAAAAAAGGGGGGTGTACAGACTTCCACTCTATTTCGCACTCACCAACCTATCCGTGGCCGCCTTAACCCTTCTAAGGTCACCAGCCCATGTAGTACCATTCGCATAAGTCGTCCTGTAGGTTTCAGAGCCTGCAGTAGCATTGAGCCCGAGGTAGACAAGAAATACGATCAGAAAGACCCAAGAGCAGGATCAGCCACAGCTCACACTTGCGCGCGTGAAGTTCATCGTCCGAATCTCAATTCGGACAGCATCCCGTACTCAGCGCCACTACCTACGGTAGCGGGAATTTAGATGGCGATGTCCAGTAATCATGCCACGCCACTGACCACTTTCCCTAGCGGGCCAGGTCACAAGCGGAAACACGCGAGCGCAGCGCCGGCGGTAGCAAGTACTACATAGTGAAGGAGCCAACATAGCACGCGGTCGACGGCTGTTGCACCGTGGATTTGTTGTGGCTTGCTATGAACTGCCACCGTGGCGCGAATTTGCATTAGACGACCGAGATTCAATAATATTAGGCAGGACAAGAGAAGAGGACAGCATATGTACTACTTACTACTACCTACACATGTACACAAACTAAAGAACAACAAAGAGTATGATGTCCGTGGCGAACCCAGGGGGTACTACTACCGGCTGGCGCCATGACCAGAATATATCAAAAGCGGTGAGGGGAGGCCATAAAGAAACGAAAGACCAAAAATTGTGTTGTGAGTGATGCAGGAGATTTACAACATATGATACCTGAGTATTTGAAACCCATTGAGCGGGACGCGATCGTTGAAGCTCGCCCCCAGACAGCACGCTCACCATGGCGTATGTCTCATCCCAGCCGACCCGGTGATAACCTTCGAACTTAGCGGCGGTTCGCCGTACTGTCCCAACACTGGCATCGGAACGCGCGGTGGTACCGACACTGGCTGATAAGGGTACGTGTAAGGTGCAGGCGCCACCGCGGGATACGGATACGGCATCTGCAACTGGATATACGTCTGCTGCTGCTGGAACCCGGTATACATCGCGGGATTGACTGCGGGGACCGGATACGTATACGTGGGCGCAAGAGGGTAACAAGGTACGGGCATCATGGGATGTGGGACAGGAACAATGCTGGGCGTCGGGGGCAGAGAGGGCACTGACAGAACCGACATGGAACTACGGTTACGGGTATGCTGCCGTGGGCGTGATTTCGAACGAGAGCGTGGAACGACGGAACCATTGGACGGGGCCGATCCCTCGATCCAGCCACCCTCAGATATTTGTGACTGAGCTTTGGACGGGTCGCGCGATCGCGAGCGATTCACTTTCGGCTTCGTCGCCCCTTCCTGACCTTTGGTAGACATAGGCACGCATCCCGAGACTTGGACACCCTCGCGCGAGCCTAACACCGCTACAAGTTCCTTCCGCCTCTGCGCTCTCGCATCCATGTCCATCTTGCCCTCAGCCCGGATCCAGCCATCACAACCCTGCTCGGCCTCACCTTCCTCCTGGTCTTCTGACTTGCTCTTCGCCCGTCTTATCCGCTGCCTCGGGCTACCCTGTCGCATCTGGTCGACAATCTCCCTTGTCTTCGAAGACTTGCGACTCGGGCCCGGCGAATCTCGTCTCTCCGAGAGCAAGAACGTCGGGAGATTGGGGGTAGCCGCCTGCCGCCGCGGGAGATCCTGTCCGGCGTTCGAGGGAGTGGCGGGCACTTCAGTGTAGAAGCCGTGCTCGTCCTCCCGTAGCTTGGATGGCATGGAAGAAGGACGGACAGCAGGGGGAGGCAGGGGAGGGAATTGAAAGTCAGATATTGGTAAGAGTGAAGAAGACGCAACGGCAGGCCACGATGGTGAAAGGGGGTCCTCATACAAATGGCGGCTGTTGCTGAATGAGGAAGATGACGGAATAAATGACGTGGCTGACGCATTCAAGCGCTTGGAAGGGGACCCAGAGAGGTCGTGACGCTCCTTGGAACCATGACTCTCGAGCGTGGACGGCTGAGTCTTCGGGGTAGAAGGTAGGGCCTCCGACGTCTCAGAATCGGTCAGGTCGATGGAGGATGTCATGGAGCTCGGGGTACGTGATCGAACAGGACTACTCGGGCCCGGAGCGAGGTCCAAGTTCCATAGCGACGAAAAGGCGCTCTGCTTGAGAATCGCGTCGGCTTCGTCCTCACTCACCTCATTCAGTGGCTCAGAGGACAGTTTGAGAATACCTCCAAACACGAACTCAACCTGGCGCACCCATCGCTCTCGCAGAGCATCTGTATCACAGCCTTCCGCATCATATCCGCCGATTTGCCTACGCCGCGGCAGCAGATCCTCCATGCTGTACCGGAGAAGCTGTGTGCCGTCCGAGCTTCCCTCGAATCCGACGATTGTCTCGTACGCCCTCAGGACACTGTCCGCAAGCTTGACCCCCAGCAAGTCTACATGCAGCTCTAGATCAGGTGCCGCCCCTAACTCCGTAGCCAGAGTACCAGAGCAGTTCTCCAAAACAGCATCGGAAGAGTGAGAGCCATCGAGATAGATGGTCCGCTTGCGCTGTTGGCGGATACGCTGGAGCAGGCACTCGGACGGAGCTTCATTCTTCGTCCAAGAAACGGCGCTGTAGGGGGTACGCCACCAGTCCCTTGAGACGAGCACCCAGTCCTCTCCATCGCCTGTTCCCTTCAGATCCTCGAAGGTCGAGCCCGACATCTTCGCAGCGCTGAGCAATTGATAGGCAAAATTGCAGTTGAAACGGGCGCAAAGATTGTCTCAGAACCAAGGTATCCGAAGACGCGCTACAGAGGCGTCCCAACTCACCGCAGATGTCGACGCCCTCCGCTGGGTCAACGAAGGGAAAGACGACGCGGAAAGAGACAAAGAACAGGTCTCAAAAGTGGGACAATCCAGCTCAATCCAGCATGAGTTGGTGAATGAAAGGAACGGGCGGTTTGGAGGCAGTGACTGTACTCGGCCGAGACACCGGTCACACCACGTGCCGGGCTGCGAATAGGCCGCGAAAGCCGGCAAAGCACCTTGAAGGTGTCGATATGCCACAGAACGAGACCTAAGCCTTACAGAAGGTGGTCAGGCGACAAGCGACGACGTCGAATGGTACGTTGCTCACCGTGAAAAGGTTCCATCAGTATTTCAGGTGGCTGGAAATCTCGTCAAGTTGTTCTCACCGGTAAGGAAACGTTCAAACACAGTAAAACCAGTCTGAATCGCGCCGTCCTGACAAACGACGGCGGCGATGGGCAGAAAAGAAAAGTGCGGACCAACTTCCAAGTAGGCACCTTTTATAAGTACCAGGCAGGGCGAGTCCAGGCAAAAACTGACATACGTCAAATACGGGAGAGGATTACTATTTACGGTAGCTGCGTTTCCCCAATAGGGTTATTGGATGCCATATATAAGAGTGCGACATACTGAGACGAAATGAAATGATACAACAGCAGATATTTATATTATTGCAATGTCCGTGGTGTTTGCACATTACCAGCTGCGGAATTCGCTATGATATACATCTCTGCATGGGCTCGGACGTATTTATCCACCAACCCGGGATCGACGGGTCGAGTTTTCATCTGCGCTCGCTACATGTAGTGAGGAACACTGAAGTCAGATGCAGAGGTTCATAGCGAGTAAGCTCAACCACGCACCAAAGCAAAGCCGACACCTCGGTATATCCATTCGAATACGTCCTTGAACTCGGGATGACCCTTGGCCATGCCCGCGAAGGACAAGTGCGATACTGTGAGCGTCTTTACCAGCTGCAGGACCAGTTATTAACGTGTCAAAATAGCAAAGCTAAGTGCTTACAGTCTTGTTCGCCTTCTCGACCTCCGACATACTGCCCTCGCCCTTTGGAGCTTCCTTGCCCTTGCCTTTCGCCTTCCCCTTGGGATCAGCAGCTGCCCGGCTACCTGCAGGAACATTGGGCACTTTGAACGTCGCGTCACTGCTCTTCGCATTATTTGGTCCAGGTTTCGACGGAGGGAGCTTCGAAGGCCCTGCCTTTGGTCCGCGTAGCATGATCTCCCTCGCCCTCCGGACAGCCTCGTCCTCACCTCTCTCCTTCCGGCGTTTGTTCTGTCCACCATCAGCCTCAGATAGCAGCAGGCATTTTGGTGGCTTTCGCGGAGTGGGGTCGTCCGGTCTGGGCGGTCTTGGACCAGGTAAAATGCGAGATACACAGAGGGTGAGGAGGGAAGATGGGCTACTTGTGGGCATCTGCTGTCTCTGACCGTAGACCAGAATCTCGGAGTGGTCGTCTCCTAGGCCAATGCGCACCCCGTCCTCCGTCCGGCCGTCGTCCGAAAGCTCGGGCTGCAGGCAAAGGATATTCTCAAAGTACACGGTCGTGAGGAACGAGTCTGGATGGATGTACCTGTAGTCAGTATCAATAGCTCGTCAGAGAAATGAATTGCATATAGCGCTCACATCAATACGTCGCCACTCGGGCCTTCATCCAGCCACAGGTCCTTCACTTTCGCTGTACCCAAAAATCGTAGAGTCGGCCGTCCTCGAAGGGTCTCAAGCGCAAGTGCTAACGGGTTGTCGAGTTCCATCTTCTCCAGTGAGGCAGGTCTTCGAAGCAGGAAAGCCAGCCCGTCAAGAGTAAGGTGAGAGTCGGGCAAAGAGAGGCCGCCTCTGTAGAGTAGCCGATACGTCCAAGGGTTCGACGGTGCAGGTGTGTCAGAGGAAGAGGGTTGTGCAAACGGACCTTCACCGCTCTCCATTCTGAATACCATCGTCGACAGATTGCCACAGCGTCGCCGTCGACGAGTGTGCGCCACCAACCGTGAACGCGATGGTGACAAATGTCACCGTCACGTGCTGCTGGGGTCTTCACGGTGGCACGTTACGTCTATCTCTGGGGGTGGGCAACGCCGCGTCGAAATGCGTATGCTTATGTAAGCAATTGGTGGCGCAAAAGTGACCAATGCTGCTCCTGTTGCCCATACACAATCACCTCACTCTTCTGAGGTCTAAGCAGGCACTAATGAGTGTATATAACATAGTCATATCCAAAGGTAAGCCTATGATTAAATGTCAGAACTAATAAAATGACAGAACTCCCGGGCATTCGCCCTAGTCACATCACTGTCACACCGCGTCTCGCGCCAAATCACTTTTCTTCAGTCGACTACCGTGGACACTGTGCTGGCTCGTAGACTCACTTTCACGTCTAGCTTCAAACATGAGAAGTGCTCTATCAAGTAAGCTCTTGTGCGTGTTCAACCCAGATTGTCCATTGGGTAACTTTTTTTACACTATTTATTTAACTATCAGCAATTTCCCAAAAATTCACTGAACACGCACTAGTAATGATCTTTTTGTGCAAATCTGTGACTTAAATCTGCTTGAAAAGGCAATAGCGGGGGCACAACGTTGTCCGACAGCAGTTGGTCACTGCCAAATCGCGTTTAAGCCTGAGCCAAACATGTACAAATAGTACGCATTCAGACGCGGCGTTGCCCA